CGTAAATACGAAGAAATATAGAAGGCTAAATGTCTTGATCTGACCAAGTAGTTATAGTCAATTATAAAAAGAGCATCGTCAGAAAGTAAAAACAAACGGCAAATCACAGCGGGCAATACGGGATTGAAATTCAATTTTCCTCTGATTTCTGATTGATAATAAAAGGCAGTCGTGATGAAATTATTTGATTCGTCTATCGCTAAATTAATAAACTGTTTATTATTAGTTTTACTCACTCGTATTAATTAAACGCTTAAGTCCACCGCGGGATGAAACGCATTGGGGATTATAGGAAACTCCGCAAACACTTCATCCCTCGATGCACGATTCTGTTTGTCAAGGGTAAGCTAAATACGTCGGCGCCGAAGGAAAAGGTGCTGAGCGCTCGTAACATCTGGGTCGCGTGGTGGGGCCGCACGAATTCGCAAAGTGAGACGCTATCTACCATCGACGGATTAAATCGGGTCGACTGTGTGTTTATGCGGCGGCCGAGGACGGCACGAAAGTTCAACAACGTCGGATACGTCGGTATAGCGAAGATAGCGGACCGCATTATAGCGGGGATCGAGAGCGCGGCTGGGAATATGTCAACCTTTACACAATATTTCGCCGCTTATTGTCGCTAACATTGTAACAAGCCGTGACTCGCCGGTCGCATACTAACCGGAGGATTAATTCCACGTGCAGCCCGAGGAGGCGGCTTGCGAGCCGTTGCGCGTAACACGGCGTTTCGCACTGACAAGTCGCTATCAGTTTATAAGCCCGTAAGCCCCGCAGTCGCTAATTAAAACTACGCTATTCCGTCCGAGAATTGGGACGAGATGACGGCGAATATTTAGTGGTGTTTCATCGACACTACCGTCCGCTTTATTCAGAGCTGTGCGTTATTTTTTTTTAATTTATCATTATTTGGCGGTGTAAAATGTGCAATCATATTATTCCGGAATAAATTTGCAATGCAGAAGTTTCATGCGTTATTTATCACAATACTGGCCTGATTGTTAGCAATTGTCAAGAGATGTATATCTTAACATTTGGATGAAGAAAAAATCAACGTTGCTCGCGAAGCGAAATATAGTTGCGAAAATTTATGAGATTTTCGGAGAGCGAGCTCTCCGTGGTCGAAGAAAAAAGAAGATTTCCTGAAAGCTTGATGAGCTGAGTTGCTGGCAAATGGGCATCGCAGCGGATTATGAATTAAATTCACCCTCGGTTCGCTCCCTGCGTTGGCCTCTTTTACGTTACTTCATAATAGCTACGACCCATGGCAAGCAGCCGTCTCGCCAGGTATTTTCGTCCATTCATTCGAACTTCTCTTTCCTCCAATCGTCTTTTCTCTTTCGTTCGGCCGCTTTGTCAACGTGTTTTTTTCCTCTCGAGAGACTCGCCAAAATGTACTTTGCCGTATCACAAAGTGGGTAAGTATAAATTAATTCGCGACATTTTAATTTGCCAAGAAAACCATATGCGACTGTATAATTTCAGAAGCAATTAAAATTTAAGTCTGTTAAATGAAAGAATACTAAGAATTTTGCAATAATTTTCACTAAATATAAATCACAAATTAATTATATTGTTTAAAAGATTGAAAATTCAAAAAAAGGTTCAATTTTCTTCAGTAAATTATTAAAAAATTTTAAATTTAAATTTATTAGCCTTGTTAATTAATTTTACAGATGAATAAAGAAAGCATAAAAGTAATCTTCTAAAAAGTGATCAATGTCAACAAATAAAAGACCGGAGAAGATGAAGAAGCAGGGTATGCGACGCGCAGAGTTACGTATGATGACATGATATCGATATAATCGTGCTCCCTCAGCAAGGATTCGTTATCTCGATTACAGCAATAGGAAAAGAAAATATCTTTACTGCGGACGACCGAAAGTTTTATATACTCTCTTATAATTGACGTCGGAAGAAGTTAGGGCGCTATTACATTCGGCTAGTCTACATTTATTCTCGGAAATAGCGGGCAAGCTATTTCTAATAACGTTGCAATCATTATTAAGTGGAGAAGAATGTCTTATGGGGCGGCTTTCTTAAATGTGTAGTGCAGAAAATAAAAAAGAAATGACAAGTAATAAAAATAATTTAGATTACATTTTCCATCATGCTGCATTGCTTAAGAATAAAACATTAAAATATTTTTTCACCGTTCAGCGTTGGTATATTGCTTATAAATAAAAAAAAAGTATGCTTTGTATAAAACAACAGATTTCTAATGCAAAGTGGTTTCTTAAAAATTAAACATAAAACACTACGTTAAAGAATAGTCAGAACAAAGTCTAATATGTTAAATTTGTTAGCATAAAAAATTATTGTACGAGTGATTTTGATAGCAATTACTCATTTTTTAAACCGACAATAAAAAATAATAATCTCAGTTTCCCCAACAAGTATTTTAGAGAAAATTAAAAAAGTGGCACATAGTTGCATCATCAACGAGAATGTGGATTCACACTCGAGAGCGATTCATGCACGATATTCCGAAGGCAATGATGCAAATACGAGAGAATGCCGTATCGATACATCTCGAAATATGACACTAGGCGAGCCAAACGAAGAGCTCTTCGGGCAGCACGTATCATGCATATTCGGCACGGAAGCCTCAGCGGGGATGGATTCTTAGTGCGAGCCGCGCCGAAGTCCCGGAATCCGCAATCCGTTTACGAATTTCGAACGGCAAGGTAATGGCTCGTGCGTAGTCGCGCGGTTAGAAATTACAATTCGAATTCCAGTGCCGTGGCTGACGACGGGGTGAGTGAAAGAGAGTGGGAGGGAGAGAGAAAGAGCCGGTCGGGGTGAGGAATTGAGCAAAAGGGGCAGGGGGAGGGGGTGGTGCGGTGGATATTGGAGTAAGGTAGGGGACGATGCCAGGAAACGGTTAGAAGTGGAGGAGTAAACGGGGCCAGCCGCCCCCCGGTGCTGGCAGTTGACCCGCGCGCGCTCGGATATAACGGGTTTTCGAGCTGTTCGGCAGCATTCTGGAATTGTAATCGCAGTTCCATTCGACCGGGGGATGTTCTACGCACGTCGTAGTCACTTCTGGGTTCTCTACCCTCCCGCCCCCGCGGGCGGTTACGATGCGGTCGGATTCCATTTTAATTACTTACCTTCGATCCATGTCGTCGTGTCCCGGCGCGTCCCGGCGCCTCGTATCGCACCGTAACGCGACGTTGGCGTGATGTATTCGCGCCGACGTGTTGCTGCTTACTTAACAATAAACAGTATCCGCGCGCTCGACGTAGATCTCAACCGCAAAAACACGGAGCGGCTTGTCTTCCAATTGTCCCGGAAGATGGATGACTCCGTAAATTTTATGATCCGCTCGTAAATTTTATGGTTTCTAAAAGATAAAATAGATTAGAAAAATCTTGACCTTCGCTCATATGAAGCTAAGTTTCATTTGATGGATTTATAAGTCAAGTACTATGGAATCTTTTTTGCAACTTCAATCTTGAGATGTTTTTATCGTCGAATAGGATCGATAAGAAGCAAAATGTTAGATGCTTCGCTCTTTCATTATTAAATTAATCAATTACGATATTTGTACGTTTTAGATATGATGAGCAAAATTACAAAAAAACCTGCATAAACTGTAACGTTAATAGAAAATATATAATACGTCATGTGTGAGAAGATTGACAAACCGAAATTTTTTACTTCTAATTTGACGTTGCACTTGACTTTCATAGTGAGTGAAAACCAGCGTATCCGCGAGACGGAATGGAAAATTGCAGAGCTACGATACCGGGATAGCCACTATTTGTATACGTGATACAGGTCCTGTCTACGAAGTGAGAAAATGGGAAAATTCTTGAAAGAATGCACATGGAACAGTATTCATATATGCTAGCAAAGAGAAGCAATAATATAATCAAGCTCGGTGAATTTTTAAAGCTTTGCTGTGCTACTTGCATCATTATTCCATTCGGGTATCTCGGGAAGAAATAGATCGTAACGCATAATGTATATATATACGTGCTAATTCAACGTGCAAAAATTCAAATAATGTATAATGAAGCAAATAAAATGCAGTGTGAATAAAAATGCGGTTCGGTAATTTGAAGCATATAAATGCAATATGCATATAAGTCTAAGCGAATATTTGTCAGAATTGTACGCACTGCGAGACGCAAATACCGCGAGAGAAAAATTTTTTTCTTTAACTTCAGTCGCTCAAGAATATCCGTATAATGCATATTAGAAATGAAAACACCAAAGGCACATAAACTAATTTTAGAGGAGCACATAATGACAAATATAATAATTGTAATTAGAGAACAATAACAATACAATTATACTTACTCTTGATATAAAAGTGTCTCATCTGTAATTAATGACGTGCACAATCAAAAATACTCTTCACCTAAATTCTTAAATTGAAAAATAAATATTTTCTTTCCAATTTAATATGAAATGACTCGTGATAAAAGTGATGATATTTTTGGCATATGCCTTTGCAAATTGTACGAGCAATAAGGCTTGCTATATTGATACAAGTTTCATTTATAACGTACGCTTACACATACGAGATATACACATACGTATAGTTAGCAAATAAATAACTTATCATATGACATAAAAGAAAAGTTCTACAAATATGATTACAATATATTGATTTAAGATCTTTCATTAAAATTCACGCTTACAAACGTGATAAAAATAAGTAAATATATATATGTACTATGTAAATATATATTGTATGTTTTAAATGTATATATATTTAAATAAGCTATATGTATATTTACAAATATATAGCTAACAGAACCACGTGAGTAACTATATCGAATTCAAAATAACACAGAATTGTGTTACAAGATTTTAACGATAAGAGTAAATGCTAGTATAAAAAGCGATAAAGCAGATCAGTTATCAAAGCTTAAATGACTTTGTGATGGCCTTGTGATGTCTGTGTGTGTGACGTATTGAGGCGTGATGAAAAGAGATGCTAGCACAAACATATGGCAGAGATACACACACAGTCGAAAAATCCTGAGCAAGAGAGGTGGATTGACTATAAATATGTATCGCAAAAAAATCGTTTGGTTTATCAAGAAATTATGAGTAACAGTAATATTTTTAAATCTCTTATCAGTTCTAATTCTTCCAACTCATTCTTCAAGGCGTACTGACGCTTGGCTCCAGTTTATTCGAATGTAAATCGTACGTATCTCATTTCGAAAGCGGATCTTTTAAATCGTTTGCGCGTGAATACAGATGAAAATGTTCTCAAGCAATTTTCTCTTACCGTCTCTTTTCTGTGTGCGTCTATTTTATTAATTATTTAAGAGTTTATATGTTAATAAAATTGCAAGACGTTGACCGTTTCCGAACATCTTTTCAACTATTCAGATCTCGCGTCGGATCTATCGATTCCGATTTCTTCAGAATCGATTTTTGCATAAACAATTAGTCGAATGTTAGCCTTGTTTTGAGATAGTTAAACAATGAATAGCTGGAAAAAATGTAAATACTCTTTTCGGTCATTTTTCGTTAAAAAGAAACAGTGATAAAAAATTTAGCATTGCAAGTGAGTGCGCGCATTATAATCGACATCGATGATTTTATTTCAACATTAACCATTTTAATAATTTAAAAACATAATAACTTATTCGTCAACTTTAATTATTTTTAAATAATTAGTTGCTGTGGAGATACATTATGAAATAATTAAGATTTATCCGTATTGGAAAATAATATTTATAATATCTTTTTTTTGTTGCAGACGTATTCTACCACGGAATATTTAGATTTGATTCACTACATGCAATGTACAGGATGACGAAACTTCAATACTACCTAAACATCGTATTAATATTTTATTCCGGTTTACTTATACCGCCAGGACTTTCGACTGACAATGCTGACAATACCGGGTTATATCAAGTAGATCCGATACCAGATGAAGACCAGGATAATTTTACAGAAACAAAAGTCAATTACATGAAATTACGATTTGTCAGCGCGGTATAAAAAATCGATATATTTAAAAATAAATATTTTGAAAAATATACATCTCGAAAAAAATCAAGACTAATTAAACGCCGAAATTTTTAGATATTCAGACACGGCGATCGTACACCAGAGGACAAAGAAACTTATCCAAATGATCCCTACAAAGATGAGAAGTTTTATCCAACTGGCCGCGGCGAATTAACTAATGTAAGATATGACATATATGTTAAAACATACATTGTGTTAATTCTCTTGTTGCTAAGATCGTACGATAAAGCGCATATATATTTGCAATAATTTTAAAAAATTAAAGCGTATCGTGTCTTTAGCTATTTATAATACTTTTCATGTTAAAGTCAAATGGAATTACACATGTAAATATATGACAGTGAAAAGATTGATATTTTTTCAATTCTTTGTTTTTACGTAAAAACTGTAATTTCTTTTTTTTTTAATTTTTATTAATGATGTTATTATCAAGGCTGGTAAGGAAAGATCATATCAATTAGGACTACTACTGAAAAAATTGTACGACAATTTTCTCGGCTCTGTGTACTTTCAACCGCATATCTACGCACGTTCCACGCATTATGTTAGAAGCAAGATGAGCCTACAATTAGTGCTCGCTGCACTTTTCCCGCCCAATAACCAGCAAAGATGGCATAATGCGCTGCTTTGGCAGCCGACGAATGTGAGATATGTCTCTCCACACGAGGATGGTCTAATGATGCCATATTTATTCCCTATGTAAGCAATCTCTACTTTTTTAACGTTAGTAATGATAAGTAGTACATACATTTCGGATGGCATAATTTCTGTTTTAGTATTAATTGCGACAAATTAAGAGAACAAAAACAATGTCTAGACAATATATAAACTAACGTAGTTGATAAAGCGTAGATTAATTATCTCAATCCAGTGGCATTTAATTTTAGATAAAAATAATTTTTTTGAACTTTCAAATTTTTATCAATTACAAGAGTTTTTGTAGTAATAATTACAGTTTTAAAAAACTGCGTTTATTTATATATATACATGTATATGTGTATTGCCCTGCCATAAATTCTAATTATTATTTAATTTATTTCTTACAGCAATTTATAGATCTTTTTTAACGCAAATTTTGTCTTTTTTTCTTTTTGATAGATATAAAGAAGCTTACCAAAAAGTGTTAAACACAGAACTATTAAAAAGAACAGAAAAATATCGTGATTTAATGAAAGAAGTGTCGGTGTATGCAGGACATAATATTACTGATATATTTCGTCTTGGAATGGTGCATCACACTATAAATGTGCAATTATCTATGAAATTGGAGTTACCTAAAGCAGCGCGTACCTTACATGCAAACAAACGACTCGTTGAAGTGATATATCTAATTGCTAATCTATTCACCTACAATGACGAGCTAATCAGAATTGGTGGAGGCATGTTCGAATGAAAAATATATATGTTGCGATCATATGTGATTAATATTACGGATTTATATTACGAACCGCTAAATATTACGCATACATATATAATATATTCGTACGAATTTTTACAGGTACATTATTACGGAAAATAATCGAGGACATGAATGAAGTGATTAATGGAACATCAAATCGAAAGATCAATCTCTTCTCCGGACATGACGCTAATGTGGTCGCGATACTGCGGGCTCTGCATATAAAAAATGAGATTTACACTTTGCCAAGTTATACGAGTAGCGTTATTTTCGAATTGCGTGAATGGAAGGGCAAGTATTTTGTCAAAGTAAGTATCTCATTTCGTCCGCCTATCTATGATAACAGGAGTAATATTTAGCACTTGATTGAGGAATAATTAACGAATAATACTTATTTTCCTTGCTCTAGGTATTATATTATTGGGGTATCCCGGCGAAACTAGAAACGCTCTCCATTCCGGGCTGCACATTATTATGCCCGTACGACAGATTTCTTAATTTAACATCGACGCTGGTAGCAACAGATGCAGATCTGATAAGCCTGTCATTGAATTTGAAAGAAGATGAGTCTACATTGTATGTACTTTCTGAACTGTTAAAGACTTGAGAAATGTATAGTTCTCGCAAGATTTTTATAACATTGTTTTAAATTCTATATGACTTTGCAAAATTATTTATACTAATTTCTGTTTCTAAAATAAAAAATAAAAATGCAATTAACGAAAATAGTTCATTTCGAAGTAATGGAGAAACTTATACTTAAAAAAATTAGAGACGTTTTCGACTGACGTAATCGACGAAGCGTTCTTCTTTCCAATTAAATGCTTTAATTAAAAATTAAATTCTTTCTTTCCAATTAAATGGTACGCGATAAAGCAGTGATAAATTTGGCATATGCCTTTGGAAACTGTACAAATAATAAAATTTGTTATATCGATAAAAATCTCATTTATAATGTAAGCTTATCTATTTTATGACATTAAAGAAAGTTGTAGAAATACGATTACATTGTATTGATTTAAGATAGCCTTCCGTTATAAAATTCTCTGCTCACAAACATGATAAAAATAAGCAAATATACATATATGTATGTTTACATAAGTTATATATATATATATTTCTATATAGCTAGAACCACGCGAGCCATATCGAACTCCAAATAATTGAAAATTGTGTTGTAAGATTTTAATGATAAGCATAAGAGCTGGTCTAAAAAGCGGTGAAGTAGATCAGTTATCGGAGCTAACACGACTTATTTGTGTGTGAAGTATCGATGCGAAAAGAGATGCTGGCACAGACATAAGGGACAGACACATACACACACGAAAAATTTATGAGGAAGAGAGGTGGATTGACTATAAATACATATCACAAAGAAATCGTCTAGTTTGTCGAAAAATAATAAGTGACAGTTACATTTCCGGACCTTTTATCGGTTCTAATTCTTCCATCATTTTTCAAGAGGTACTGACACATAGAGGCCCTAGTTTATTCTAATGTAAATCGTACGTATCTCATTTCGAAAGCGGAATCTTCAAATCATTTATGTGTGGATACAGATAAAAATTTTCTCAAGCAATTTTCCCTCACTGTCTCTTTTCTGTGTACGTCTCTTTATTAATAATTTAATAGAGTTTATTATTTTAATAAAATAACCAGACGTTTCCAACACGTCTTCAGCTATTCAGACTTCGCATCGGATCTATAGATTTCGATTTCTTTAGAATCGATTTTTGCATAAGCAATCAGACGAATATTAGTCTTGTTGTACGATAGTTAGCAAGTAAATAGCTAGAAAAAATTTAAATGCTTTTTTCGATCATCTTTCGCTAGTCTGAAGCGGTGATGAAGAATGCATTGCAAGTGCATGCAGAAAATTATAATCGAAATATAATCCTAGGCAATATGACATGTATCGTATTGTGGCGATACAAATAATGTGTATACGTTTGAATATTTTGACTGTTTTTGTACGAGAGAAAATTTGTGTCCGAGATCAGAGCTAAGAATGTAAATAAAATAGTCAGTCGCGCATTAACACGGAGGAAAGACACACTGAAAAGAGACGTATGTACTTGTGTGAGAATTTGTGTAGTTTAATAATTTTTAAACTTAGGAAAGTTAACGTCCAGACGTTACTTAAAACAGACTTTCTATAACACTTTTCATTATTTCTAATTAAGCAGTAAATTTTTCTAATGAAAGATGATATATTTTTAATTTATTGAAATAAAATGCGATTTCTTTTCTCTTTCAAATATATGTATTATATGTTCAAAAGTATTGTGTCACTGACGATACTGTGACAATAAAAATTTGTCGTTACTAATAACGTAACAGGCTTTATTTTATATTTTTACAATTATTCAATAAATTTCAATTGATTATAAAAATGTTTATGCTTTTATATGATAAATTTTTTATATAACATTTGGGAAAACGTAAGAAATTTCTTTTCGCATTATAATCCAGTGCAAAAATAAAATATTAATTTAATAACTAGACATGAATCAATGCTTTTATTTCAATATTGACTGTTTTAATAATATAAAAATATAATAACTTGTTCGTCAACTGTAATTATTTTTAAATAATCAGCTTAGTTGCTGATACATTATGAAATAGTTCAGATTTATCCGTATTATCCGTATAAAAAAATAATATTAATACAATCTTTTTTTTGTTGTAGACGTATTTTATTACGGAATATTTAGATTTGATTCACTACGTGCAATGTACAGGATGACGAAACTTCAATACTGCCTAAATATCGTATTAATATTTTATTCCGGTTTATTTATAACGCCAGGATTTTCGACTAACAATACTGGCAATACCAGGTTATATCATGGAGCAAATCTGGTACCAAACGAATACCAGGATACTTTTACAGAAGCAAAAGCCAATGATACGAAATTACGATTTGTCAGCGCGGTACAAAAAAATGATAGAAAAATCAATATTTTGAAAAAAATACATCTCGAAAATAATCAAGAACTAATTAAACGCCGAAATTTTCAGATATTCAGACACGGCGATCGTACACCAGAGGACAAAGAAACTTATCCAAATGATCCCTACAAAAATGAAGAGTATTATCCAACTGGCCGCGGTCAATTAACTAATGTAAGATATGACATACGTGTTAAAACATACATTTTGTTAATTCTTTTGCTGCTACACTTGTCTAATAAAGCGCATGTATATGTATCTGCAAACATAATTTTCAAAAATTAAAGCGTATCGTGTTTTTAGCTCTTTATAATATTTTTTATGTCAAAGTCAAATGGAATTGCGCATGTAAATACATGACAACAAAATTGATATTTTTCTGAATTTTTTGTTTTTACGCAAAAACTATGATTTCTTCTTCTTTTTTAATTTTTATTAATAATGTTATTGTCAAGGCTGGTAAGAAAAGATCGTATGAGTTAGGATTACTACTGAGAAAACTGTACGACCATTTTCTCGGCACTACGTACTATCACCCGTATGTCTATGCACGTTCCACGTTCATTATTAGATGCGGGATGACCCTACAATTAGTGCTCGCTGCACTTTTTCCGCCTAATAACATGCAACAATGGAATCATCAGCTGCTTTGGCAGCCGACGTATATGAGATATAGCTCTTTAAACGAGGATACTCTAATGATGTCATTTACATTCCCTGCGTAAGTGATCTCCACTCTTTTAACGTTAGTGATGATAAGTTGTACACTTCGGATGGCATAATTTCTGTTTTAGTATTAATTGTGGCAAATTAACAAAACGAAAACGATGTCTAAACGATGTATAAACTATGTAGTTGATAAAGTATAGATTAATTATCTCAATTCAGTGGCATTTAATTTTGGATAAAAATAGTTTTTTTTAACTTATAATTTTTTTTTAGACTTCTTAGTAATAATTACATTTTTTTAAAACAGCGTATATAAAAAAAAAAATATATATATATATATATATATATTGCTCTAGCATAAATTCTAATTATTATTTAAATTCTTTCTTTCAGCAATTCATAGATCTTTTTTTACGCAAATTTTGTCTTTTTTCTTTTTGACAGATATAAAGCAGCTTTCAAAAAAGTGTTAAACTCTACGGAAGTATTAGAAAAAATAGAAAAATATCGTGATCTAATGGAAAAAGTGTCGGCGTATGCAGGAAGTAATATTACTGATCTATATCAGCTTGTGATAGTGCGTTTTGTTATAAATATTCAATTATCTATGGGACTGGTGTTACCCAAAGCAGCGCATATCTTATATGCAAACAAAGAATTTTTTGAAGCGACACGTCTAGCTTATGACCTATTTGCCTACAATGAGGAACTTATCAGACTCAGTGGAGGCACGTTCAAATCAAAAATATATATGTTGCGATCATACGCTTAGTACGGACTGCTAAATATTATGCGTAGGTGTATAATATATTTGTACGAATTTTTACAGGTACATTATTACAACAAATAACCGAGGACATGAATGAAGTGATCAATGGAACAACAAATCGAAAGATCAATCTCTTCTCCGGACATGACATTAATGTGGTCGCGATACTGCGGGCTCTGCATATAAAAAATGAGATTTACAGTATGCCAAACTTTACGAGTAGTGTTATTTTGGAATTGCATGAATGGAAAGACATGTATTTTGTCAAAGTAAATATCTCATTTCTCGTCCGCCTATCTACGATAACAGGAATAGTATTTAGCACTTGATTGAGAAGTAATTAACAAATATTATTTATTTTGCTTCCACTAGGTATTATATTATTGGGGTATTCCGGCGAAAGTAGAAACGCTCTCCATTCCAGGCTGCACATTATTATGCCCGTATGACAGATTTCTTAATTTAATATCGACGACAATAGCAACAGATGCAAATCTGATAAGTCTGTTGCATTTGGAAAAAGATGCGTCTGCATACGTGTATTAAACCGCTGAACACTTGAGAAATGTAAAGTCTTTGCAAGAATTTTATATATATAACATTGTTTTAAATTCTATATGACTTTGTAAAATTAATTATATAAATTTCTATTTCTATTTTTAATTCTAGAAATCGTTTCGAAGAAATAAAGAAACTTATATTAGTCGCTCAAGATACAAATATATATATATCCGTATAATGCACATTAAAAATAAGAACACTAAAGGTATTTCATCATTTTAAAGGAATACATAATAACAAATGTAATAATTGTAATTAGTGAACAATAACAATTATGCCTGCTCTTGATATAAATAGTAATTTGTAATTAATGTCATGCACAATCAAAAATTTCACTTTCTTTCCTATGGAATGCTTTTATTAAAAATTAAATTCTTTCTTTCCACTTCTATAACCTGAAAAAGCGATGATAAATTTGACATATGCTTTTGTAAATTGTACAAACAATAAGGCTTGCTATATTCATGAAAGTCTTATTTATGATGTATACTTATCTATCTTGACATAAAAGAAAAATTGAACAAATATGATTACGTTACATAATTTAAGATAACCTTCCATTATAAAATAGTACGTGCACAAATGTGATATAAGCGCAAGTGCCAGTATAAAAAACGATAAAGCAGATCAGTTATCAATGCTAAAATGACTTAGTGTGTAACGTATTGAGGCGGGGCAAAAAGAATGTTAGCAGAGACATATGGGACAGAAACACACTTGAAAAATCCTGAAAAACATCAAGAAAGGTGGGTTGTCTATAAATATGTATCGCAAATATGTCATCTGGCATTCTTGTCGAAAAATTATAAGTAACAGCTATATTTTCGGACCTCTCTCATCGGCTCTAATTCTCCCAACATTATTCAAGAGGTACTGACACTTAGAAGTCCTAGTTTATTCCAATGTAAATCGTACGTATTTATTTCGAAAGCAAACTCTTCGTATCACTTACGTGTGGATACAGAAACAGAAATGGAAATTTTCTCAAGCAATTTTATATCTCTTTTCATTAATAACTTAATAGAATTTATATTTTAATAGAATTGCCAGACGTTTTTAATATGTTTCCAGATATGCAGACCTTGGGTCTTTAAATATTTATTTTTTTAGAATCGATTTTTACATAAGCAATTAGTCGAATATTAGTCCTGTCGTATGATAGTTAACAAGTAAATATCTGGAAAAAATTTAAATGCTTTTTTCGATCCTTTTTCGCTAGTACCGAAACGGTGATGGAGAACTTAGCATTGCAAATGAGTGCACGAATTATAATCGAAATATTATCCTAGGCAATATGGCATGTGTCGTATTGTGGCGATACAGTGCTGTGTATACGTTGGAATATGTTGACTGTTTTTTATACGAGAGAGAATTTGTGTTTGGGATCTGAGTTGAGAATGTAAGTAAAATTGTCAGTCGCGCATTAGCTCTCGGGAAAGTGCTACACGTACCGAAAAGAAAAGTATATTATACTTGTTTGAAAATTTCTGTAATTCATTAATGTTAAGATATTTAATATCCAGACGGTTTACTTGAAACATTACTTTCTATAACATTTTTCATTATGATTTCAAACTCCATAAGCAGTAAATTTTTTTAACATATAAAAGGTAATATATTTAAAATTCATTAAATTAAAGTTTGATTACTTTTGTCTTTCAAATGTACATATTATATATTCAAATATGTATTGTCACTGCCGATACTGTGTGACTTCACAAAAAAATTTGTCGTTACTAAAAACCTAATCTAACGAGCCTAATTTTGAATTTTTGCAATTTTTCCATAAATTTAAATTAATTGTAAAACTGTTTATTCTTGCATATGATAAGTTTTCCATATAAAATTTGAGAAAATGTAAGAAATTTCTTTTCGTATTATAATCCAATGCAGAAATAAAAGATTAATCTAATACCTAAACATAAATCGATGATTTTATTCATTGACTATTTTAATCATTTAAAAACATAATCACTTATTCGTCAATTTTAATTATTTTCAAATATGAAGTTTAGTTGCTGTGGGGACACATTATGAAATAATTAAGATTAATCCGTATTGGATAGCAGTAATTAAGATTAATCCGTATTGGAAAGCATTCAATTGGAAAAAAAGTGAATTTCTTTTGTCGTAGACGTATTCTATCGTGGAACATTTAG